CGCCGCCGCTGTGCCGGAGTTGCGATATTGGCTGAAAGGGGCCCTGGGCCTAATTTGGGATTTTTTTGGAACACGTGCAGGTACCAGTAGTGCGTTTCAGTTCCCCGGGAAAAAATTCAGGGAAAATTAGGGACAACCTGCAAGCGCACTGTGAAGCCGTGTTTGGACCCTGAAACGAGTAAGGACCCCTCACCTTATTTCCTATCACAGTATTAAAGTTCAATAATGATAAAACAGTATTTCTTGAATCAACGAATGTGTGAAATTGCTTAAGGTCGCTAATGGAGCCCGAGTCTAGTGTGTTTATCAGTTTACTGTTATTTGGCATGTTTTACAGTTTTAAATGCAGCATGAGGTTCGATGTTTTCATTTTGTAGTTTCGTGTGCATATTTTACTGTTTTATTGATTATGGATTGAATAACTGGGATATTGATGCTGTATGTTGTCTGTTTGACATAAATTATCGTTTTGCTTGTTTGTATGTGATTGATAATGCTGACTGAGGGAAAAAGGAGAATGAAAGATTATGTAAATGGAAAATTGTATAATGTGGTCAGCCTGACTAGATATCCTGGGAGATGGTGGACGGACCGGGTCCGTAGAGAACCCTACCGGGATTGTGGTCTCCCATACCGGACGGAGTATGGAGATCTTATGTGTTTTGGCGCCCATACCGGACGGGGTATGGGGACGGCCCTGGAATATGATTTCAAGTGTTAAGGGTTAACGGGTAGCGGGACCCCTATGGATCCCCATGGATACTAGTGGGCTGGTAAATGAGGAAAATATATTGTGTAACGATTGAATTACGAAAGGCTTGATAAGTATTACGTTATACAGTTTATATATGATTTCATGATGATGATGATGTTATTGTTTTCGTATATTGACTTATGAATTTCACCGAGGTAAGTGAATGGTAAAGGTTTTATTATTGATAAAAGGTTTTGTTATAAATTATGCTCCATTGGTCTTTTTGTGTTTTCTACCCACCTTTACCTCCGTGACGGTGAGATATCGTGATGTCCTTACTGGGCTAGTGTAGCTCATTCCTTATTTAATCATTTCATATCAGGAAGACATTGTTCCCGAGCCAGTTCCGCATGAGGACGACGAAGGGGACGCCTAAAGACTCCATAGTCATATTTGTAGCTTTTACTTTCAAGTTTCTCCTTTAGGTAGTTTGATCTTTTATATTGTGAGCACGTTTTTTGGTTTTAGTGTAAGGGATGTTAATCGAATTTTTGACTTCGCTTCCGCATTTGATATTTTTAATATACATTTCATTCTAAATTTCCGGGGCTGTTACAGATTACTTATCATATTACTAGAGATTCTGTAAATTATGTATAAAGATAAGTTTTATTGTCATAATTATCATAAATATGTGTAATTTTTTTACATTTATTATTTAAATTATAGTAAATTATCAAATTGTTTTCTAAATTTTAGTAAATTAAGTGAATCATTATATTTAAAAAATAATAAGGCAATATAATTATATTTAGATTTAATAAAACATTTCGTCTTCTCTTTTAAGGAGAGAGCGCTATCATACACATAAAACTTAATTATTTATGCAGTACTATGCTAAAATTTATAAGTCAACGTCATATATCTTATATGGAGTTACCTTTCATAAGTTTCACAAAAATTTTAAAGTCACATCATTATAATATATCTAAATCTACTTTATAACAAAACTTCTAAAATTACTAAAAGTTCATTTAGAATCTTTTTTTTATCCTAAACTTGTTCCTGATTTGAATTAATTTGTGCTGCAAAAGGTTATGAATTGGGGTGAGTTTCTTGAATTCAATAAGAATAAGGTAGTATCCAGACATAGATATACAAACAAACAGACATTCATAGTTTCATAAAACAAATGCATATTTTATATTTATTAAAATTCAATTTAAAAAATAATCATACTCATTATCATTATCATAGAGTACACAAAAATAAAAATAAAAAACTTCATCCTTTTCATTAGCAAATTCAATATATTTATATCTACATAACGTACATATCATTCTCATTCATAAATATAATCATATCGTATTAGATTTATATTCAAATAATATCGTTTCGTTAACAAATATGATCAACCACACCAGATATATACTCAGATAATTTCTATTTCTATTATATATTTTCATTTATATTATCGTTATCAATGGAGGTCGTCCATATAAATCCCTATTATATACAGATATACAAAATATTTCTTTTACCATTCATCGATTGTCTTCATATTCCGTCCGGTAATGGGCGTCATAATTATAAACAGTTTCAATAATCCATCTGGTATAAGTGTAATTAAACCAACTTTCAACCTCGTCCGGTATGAGACTTTCCAGTTCTGTACGACCGATGACACATTCACAGTAGGGTTTACTATATGTATTAAGCCCGTACACTCTCTCCCAGGATACTCAGAAAGTTTTTTTTCTCTTCAAAAGTTATCTCTATTTCATACATCAACTTTAAAAACATAGTAATTCTTAAAATTTTATTTTTTTAAAGAAAACTTCACATCCAACTTCGCATATACACACACATTGTATTAAGCAGATAATCTCATTTATACATATATGTCCAACATACACAGTTTATATCATATTAAACATTCGTCTAACATATGATGTAAACAATAAGCAACTACAACCCATACCTACATATTAAGTACATATGCTTATATTTGTAAAATTATATCCAACAACAAACTTATACTAATTATGCATATGCACACTTTCTTGCAATATATATTTATTACTTATACATAAATTAATGCAGTAGTAATTATCATAATTCTATAGTACCTATACAAACATAAAGCACATAGTCACAGGTATAACTACATAAGTACGATTTCTTGGAATAAATATGTAATATCCATACAAATTACATAGATATATATTCTTATTTTAAATCTGCATAAATGCAGTTTCTACACTTACATTAATATATATCTTAATTTACATGTGTATACACACAGAGCATAGACATTATTTACCCTCATATAATTTGACACATATATTTATTTACATTTTTGCATGACTTCATACACATTTAAATATATATACAATCGCATAAAATTTATTTAATATATACTAGTAGCTTACTTATATGTATATATATATATATATTTTTTTTAAATTTTACCTAATAAAATAATATAACATACAAACCTTCATATAGCTATATATACATAGCACAAGAACACACAATCATTCCTACATCTATATACCTATATTGAGAGAGAGATATATATATATATATATATATATATATAACGACTTCGGAAATCTAAAAAAAATATATATAATAATTGAAGTGTAGAAGCGAAATAAAATGTTAATATTTACATCTTTTACACAATAACTTAAAAGTACTAAATAAATATTACGAGAAAAATTTCCTAAAAGAAACACGAGAAATACGAAAAATAATGGAAAATAGAAAGTATGTAGCATCTACTCACAATCTTCCTGCAGATCGGGCTCTGGAACCAAATTCTCTTGATTTGAAATCCTTATATAAGAGATGAGCTACACTAGCCCAGTAAGAATATCACACTATATTGCCAGCACAGAACCAATAGTTGGTAGAAAATTAAAACAATTAATGGAGCACTAAATTTAGCAAATTCGTTTATCAATCGTAAAATTATTTACCGTTCACTTACAATTGTGAAATTTATGAAAACAACCTATACAGACAATAATATCATACAGATCATAACTTCATGCACAATCAGCAATATAGAACATATCATAAATTTATATTCATTAACAATAAATTAAATTATAATTGTTTCTCGTTTCATCAACCTAATAGTATATGTGATGATCCATAGGGGTGTTCCCACTACACGTGAACTATTTTCTTTAACAATCTCAATTACAGGAGTGTCTCCATACCCTGTATGATATGAGCGCCAAGACATTAAACCTCAACACCCTGTTTGGTATGAGGGTGAAGCGGGCCGTCCCCATACCCCGTCCGATATGAGCACCAAATTACCAAGTCTTCATACCCCGTCCGGTATGAGACAACCTTCACGGTAGGGTTCCCTATGAACCCGGTCCGTTCACTATCTCTCAAGATATCTAGTGAGACTGTCATCTTATCTGTTTACTTGATCACACCCATTTTCTGTTTTTCCTTAGTCTCCATTACTAAATCAAACATAATCACATAAATAAATGAACATGTATCCGGTAATGCAATAATATCTTAAATCTCAAAATCAAACAGTGGTCAAGTAAGACAGTAACACATGCATTTAAACTATAAAATAGATAAATCAGATACCATCATGCTTTTAGACTGTAAAATAAGTCAACAGAAAATAATATCCGGTTCGAGCTCCATTAGCAATTTGTAATTAATTATGCATATCTATTTAATTTGTACAAAATACTGTATTATTATTTATTCAAACTTCAAATCTATGATAGGAAATAGGGTGAGAGATCCTTATTTGATTTGACGCTGAAAAGCTAAATGGTTTACTGCGCCTACAGGCGGTCCCTGCGTTCCATGATTTTTTCTTTGGAAACTGAAACGTGCTTACGGTACCTATAAATGTTCCAAATAGACCCAAAAATTAGTCTCAGGGCCTACTCGGCCAAGTTTAAAAATCCAGCACGGTGGCTTTGCCGTGCTCCGGCGACGGCACCGCCGCCAACGACGACGGTCCACCTCAGGTTGACCATTTTCGGCCAAATTCGGTCGATTTTACATTGATTCCTGTGAGCACACACGCTAAAGGGCCTCGGTGGGTCGAAAAAAATACGAAAAACTGAAACTCACTGGCGCCGGCTCTTCGGTGCGGCGGCTCCTCCGTCTCAAGTTACGGTTGGATGTTTCGCTTCGGTCAACCTGTAGAAAGGAAAACGGTGATCACAACAGTAAAAAAATTACACGAAACGGGAATCGGGAAGAGCCTCATCAGAGGCGGTTTGTGAAATTCCCCACAACGCTGCCGCTAGGCTTCGGCGGTTTTTTCCGGCCAATTGGCCAGTTCTTTCACTCAAATTTGAAATTTGCCGGTTCTTTCACTCCAATTTGGCCATGGTTGAGTTTAAAATTGAATTTCGTGCAAAAAGAAATTTTTTTACTATTTTTGGCAGTCGAAAAGGGTTACGATGCGGCGGCGGGTGGCGGCGATCGGCTCCCCGGCGGCTGGGTTGTCTTCTCCGGCGAGGGGTTTTGGCGGATGTGGTTAGGGTTTGGGTGCGGATAGGGTTATTTATACCCATCCACTTTTGATATGGACCGTCCATCGCTTTTGATCTGAACCGTCCGATTGCGATTAAGTAGAGAGTGAATCTGGACCGTTCATCGCGATTTAATCTGAACTGTCCATACGCAATTCAATCTAGGTCTTCCATGCGCGCGGGAACGAACCTCAACTGTTCGATCGCGCGCACGCGTATCGCCCACGTGGCTCCTCCCCGCGTGGCCTCCCTCGTTAGCACTTTTGCCACTTGGTGTGTTCTGATTGGTCGGAGCTGCTAACCGGACGTCTGACGTAGCGTAATTTTTTTAAATTGTATTTTGACCACTGATTTCTGATTTTTTTTTTTAAAATAATCTCAAAATTCAAATTTTCATCATTTTTTTTTGAATTGTTTTCAATTTAATCGTTAATAAATTTTTATCTTTTTTATTAAAATAAAATAAATAAAATAAAAACTAAAATAATTATATTTAATAAATAAGGGGTGTTACAATATATATATATATATATATATAGACACACATGTACACAGAGGTCATTAATATATATTTAACATATTCACAACTCACAAAACTGGTTACATATACACAACAACAGATTATATACATATAATTTTTCACACTTTGGATTTGCCTGCACATATTTATAGAATCATTTCAATATACATATAATGGTTTATGAAACTGTTTATTAAAATAACATCCGAAAATCAATTTTTAAATTTCAATAATTATTTTAATTCAACCAACTATTTTAAGAAGAATTATGAGATCTCCAAATAAAAACTAACCCGACTCACTCTTGAAATTTGATTTGAAAATATACCGAAATCCTCATGCGCCGCCGCACGCAGCACCTTCTGGTTTCCTTCTCCATCATCGCATCGCGTGCCAATAGTGAATTTGCATTCCCGGGTGAAGGTATGTCCTCCCATCATCGCGCCGCACACCAAGAGCAGATCCCCCACTGCCGTTGCAGTGCGATTCCTTCTTCCCAGCTATTGCGCGATGATCGAGCGCGAGTCTCCTTCGGTCGCCGATTCTCCGCGTCGCGCGGATCAGCTGCTTGTCATGCCTTCTTCTCTTTCTTCTTCTTCTTCTTCTTCTTCTTCTTCTTCTTGTTCTTCTTCTTCCTCTTCTTTTCTTTCCTGCCCCTCCCTTCTACCACTTAGGGTTTCTTTATTTTTTATTTTATTTTATTATTATTATTATTTTCTGATTGTTACATCTAAAGAACTTACCATAATTTTCTCTTTAAGTTCAAATATCTACAGTTTATAATTCATCATACAATTTTTTTTGTAAGTGTCCTGCTCATTTATAAGTATCCCCTTAATGAAATTGAATTGTTTCATCATTTTCTCCTATGGGAATTTTGCAGTATCATCATAGGAGAGCAAAATAGAGAATTAGAATCTTGAGTTACAAAATTAGGTGTATAAACTATAAAGGCAAGTCAATACACAATTTACTCTACAAGAATTATTCTGGAAATGCTCAAAAATGGTAAAATATTCATTCCTCTTACCAGACTGTAATTTGGGTCTTCAAGGTTCAGCTCTGTAACTATACAGTAGCCATGTATTAGATTCAACAATGGCGCCAAATGAATTCCTATCGATGGATCAAAAGCTTTCCCAGTCCTGTTCTGTCCTGTCCGATCATAAACTAGTTTCTTTTAAGTTTATAATTACCTCCGAGAGTGAATGGCATCATATTTCAATGAAGCTGGCTGTGGACAGGATTTCAAGATCTTTCGAGTTACCCCATTAAAGCAGCCTTGCTCACGTGGTGCAATTCGGATCAAAATATCATGGAAAATTATATTGCTTAAACTTTATAGCTCGATTGCACTTTCCATTATCAATTCTTCTAAAACACCATCTACTAGGTCAGCAAGAACATCGTCAACGTTGATGTGGACATCCATCCATGTTGCAGATTTTGTCAAGTCATTTCCAACAAGTTGCTCTAATGTTTGTGGTGGCAGCTTTGAGAGGAGAAACCAATTGACACATTTCATTGCATCATGAACCACATCATTCATCAGTATAACTGGGAGGAGTTTTCGCTTGACCAATGATATACAGAGAGGGTATGTAAGATTACGCTGATACACCTCGAGAAGGACTTCATTGATATAATCGAAGAGGAGCTTATGATCGAAACAAGATTGACCAGGACACACCTCCAGATCATTAAATAAGGATGGGTCAAGTAGTTGGCCTGAAGAATGGTATTTTATTATAAATTCATCCCAATTCAAGCTAGAAACTTGCAACACCGATTTGATGTACTCAGAAGCAGATCCAGTTCTAACTTTTAGGTGCATTGGCAAGGTTACAAAAGCAGTAGAATTATGTTTGTCAACATTAATCTGATCTGGATGGATTGGCTGCTTAGCTGCAGAAGTTTAATTGGGTTAAATTAATAAAGATTCAGACTCAAAAAACAAATAATCAGTAAAATAAATCTTGATTTTAGCCTACCAGTTTGAGCTAAGATGTTTTTAGGGTTAGCAATATCTTCCATGTAAATACGCTCAAGAACAGAGAACGGACTCGGTAGTTCTGATCCATCTTTCACGCCCGGAGAGTTGTCTACTCTTGGAGTTCTTACAGGGCTAGATGAAAAAGTATCAATAGTAGATGGAGATGTACAACTCTCTAAGGGTGAGTCCTGAAAGAACATCAAAAGGCAATGCTTTAACCAAATTAGTGCAAATAAAAAATGAAAAGAAAATAATCAGATTACAAAACGATGCCTCCTAAGCAACTTTATATATAGCACTACTAACCATGTTTGGGGATTCAAAACCTCCATTTTCCTTGCTATATATGGTGGCTCCTTGCATATTTTGATCGTTATTGGTGTCAGGTGAGCAGTGTGGCTCACAAGGAACTTCCAAAGGATTGACTTCTCCATTCACAGTATTATTTGTCTCCATAATCTTTACAGGACCTGCAGAAATTTATGAAATTCCCAAGAGTAAATAGATGCTCCTATTGAAGATCCATAGTTGAATAAAATCTTTTATTTTACCTCTGGGAGTCGAATCATCACCAAGAAAACATATTTTCTCCTGCATTTCTGTATCAGGGAAATGATTCTCTGATATACCAGGCTCTTCATCAAGTGTTTTTGATAAGTAATCAAGTTTTGTGTTATCAGTTTGAGCATCAAAATTTTCCTTCAGAAGATTTATACATCCATTTAGCTTCTCTTTCCTAAGCCTATAATTCTTCCAGTTAACTTTTGGATAATAATTGTAAGGGGAAAATCTCATTTCTGCATTAAGAAAGGTATGCACCCTGTCCATTCCAGGAGTAAGTGGTGGCAAGAAATCATATTCAGGAAATACTGTTGTCCTTTGCATGGTTTCTGTTAGCTGTCTTGAAAAAATATCACTCCTGTGACTCGCAATATCTGCTTTCTTGGAGAGGTGTCTTTGAGACTCAAGGTAGAACTTCGATTCAATTTCCTTGGGATGCCTAAAAATTGATGAGTTCGAGAAATTCTGAGCACTTAACCTGGCTGAAGCTGGCGCCTGTCTAATGCCTGATTCAAGATTTTTTGCACCACTCATCTTCCCTCTCTTCTTGATATCGTCTGAAGATTTAGCCATAACTCTAGCGTCAAGATACGTTCTGTTCGATGAATTTGTTGAAACAGTCTCCCTTCCTATTCCTGTACGATCTTTGCAGCTCTGAGAATGAAAGTCATAGAAAGATTTATGCCTTGTAGCATTAGTTGACGTGTTGTAGAACTCCTCATGGTTTATCCCTATTGCATGTTTCAACTTATTCTTCATGTTTTTTAAAGAAAAAGTTGCAGGTTTACCACTCTTCCCTTTGGACTGCTGAGAGGAGGAATAACTGATTCTATCTACATCATCTTGCATCGCTGACCGAGGCTTCATTAAAACAATTGTGTCTGGATGCTGAAAGCCATCGCTTCCTCTGGACAGGTATTCATCATAGGAGTTGTATGTTTGAGACAAGACAGCCTCTTCAGACAATTCTCTAGCTCTATTACTCATCTGGTTCTCTAAGTTTGCTCCAAAGGAAGACTCATTCTGGAGACTTGTCGCCTGGGAATACCGTAAATCCTGGATATGTTTTACTAATAAAGAATTAGGGTCTTGTAGAAGTTTAATGAATAATTCCTTATTGGAATTCAAAATCTCTAATGCATCCAAGAAGTGCTTGGACTGATCGCTTGCCCCATCCCTGAGGCCGTGTTTACCATCAACGAACTTTTGATTGATAAATGCTTCAGTTGCTTCATCCATATGAACTTGGAGATTCATTTCAATATGTGGATCATTCATTGTGCAGCATACACTCTTGCAACTGTCATCTCTTCCACTTTTAAGATGCCGCTGATTACAGAATGCTTCAGCTGTTGTTGTGTTGAGCTTATTCGAAGATCTGGTAGCCAAATTCTTTCTTGGTTTCTTAAATTTCCGGCTTTTCCTTCTATGTTTCTTTGATAATTCATCGACAAATTCAGAGTCAGATTGTACATGCTGCAATTTAGCAGCAGGAACTTTCTTCTTTTTCTGCAGCTTACAGGACATCTCTTCTTTCATGATTGAATTGCCTTTTGCTACAGCTGAATTAGCCCTCGCATTCGTGCTGTCAACTATATCCTGAAAACGCTAAAATTGCTTCTCATCAGCCATAGACTTACCAAAAAGATCTTCAAAACATTAAAGTAGAAGGAATAATGAAATTAATAAACAAATAAAGCAAGACCAATAAGTATAATGAGAAAACACAAGCATGCTAAGTACGCATAAGTTAAACCTTGAGTAACTGTAGGTTAAACTCACATCACTTTGTTGACACTTCTCATCAAATTCACCAAGTGAATTAACCTTATTTTTTGTATAATCATTACCTGCATACAAGAAACAGAATGTTAATTTAGTTAATGAACATTATAACTGTTAAAGTTACAACACCAGCCAACATGTGGTCTTTATTTGACCAAATTTATTGTTTATTTTAATTTAATTTGTTTATTTCTACCATTACTGAAAAAGTTAGTGAGTTCTATTTTCTTATTCTTTAGAGACTTGCTGAAAACCCTTTAGTGGAGAAATTAGTGACAGAGAATAAAGAAACATGACTTGCTTAGTGTAGAAAATAGTGGCAGAAAATAATTGAACATGATTTGGTTAGTGGAGAATTTAATGGCAGGGAACGTGCCTTGTATGCTTATAAAAGGCAGCCTATTTGTATTAAATAAATTCATTTTCTCCTAGTTTCCCTTCTTGTTTTGCAATGTATCTTTCATTCACTGCATTTCCTTTTTCTTTTCTGCAATATATGTATTTTGTTGTAACTCTTTTGTTGTGTTACTCAACAATAAACATGGAAATTCATAAAATAAAGAAAAATAAAAAGTTTTATAGCTAAAGCAACTTTTTTGGAAAACAGTTCATGATACAGATTATTGATAAATACCATTACCAGTTACCGGAAACAGGATTCACTAGTTACAATATTGAAGTAGTTCTTGTTAGACTGATAGGACTAATCTGAAGAAAAGTCTTAAGAAATGCTTACCTACAGGATGTCTGTTCACACATCTTTTATCAGAAACCAGCTTCTTGCTGGAATGACCTTGGCGAAAATCAAAGAAGCCAAGTAGGCTCCATGCACATCCTGTTTTGTATTTTTCATATATCAAGGGACTTTTAGGCAAGATTGCAGGACTTCTGGGTGATCTCTTTTCCATGATCTCCTACAATTTGGTGTTGGACTACAGGGCGAAGTGGATAATTAACTGCGGATCTCAACGATCTGACAACACAAGACCTGAAAAGGAAAAGCCAAATTGGCAGCTTATTCCTCAAACAAGATCATTGAACTTAACTGGTTAGCAGGGAGTTATGTCCTTAACAAGGAATTTATGCCATACATGGAAAATCAAGAAGAGCAAACATTACTTTATCCAAGATTTTTATTAAGTGGATTTGCTAATAAAGATTCATCCCAAACAAATTCTTCAACAAATTTTAGTCAATAACATATCCCAAAATCAAATATTTTTCCTTTTAAAGAGATAATGAATATTCACAATCTAGAGTTAAAACCAGTCATCACAGACTTCTCCTAAAAGGAAAATTCTCTCTGTTGGAATCAGTATATCAGGCCTGAATAGCTTAGTTCAGATATTACCCAATTGCAAAATCATTACTTGAATTCTCACCTCAAGCATCTTACCCGAATCTCTTTTGCTTAAAAACATTAATGGCAAGCCCCTTCTTTGGAAGTGCCAAGCTAAATTCAGCATATAGTAAACAAACACGGAGAAGAATATGTGTGTGTGTGTGTATATATTATAGGTATAAAGTTAACAGCTGAGAAGGAAACAGGGAGAATAGGAGTTAGTACCTGAAACAGTTCTTGAATTTGGTCTGGAGCAGGAGTAAGGAAAAAGCATCAACCTCTCAAAAAGTCAAAAACAAAGAAAAAAGACCTAAAACCCACCAAAGTTGATGATGCCTAAAAGTCAACAAGATAAATCAAAACAGTGGCCTTGTCCTTTCCTCTACCTCTATGTCCATTTCCACTCCCTTCCACGAACCAGAAGAAGAAGAAGAAGAAGAAGAATGGGAAAGGAGAGGAAGTGAAAGACTGACTGTCATGAACGAGAAGGAAATGAAGAGAAAAAAGGAAAAAGGGAAAGGAGAAGCAGAGAGAGAAAGAGACGGAGATGGTGAATTTATGATGACATTGACTGGATATTTGCAGATCATATCACGGCATATAGCAAATCTTTCAAATGAAGCAAAAAAATTTGTCATTTTGCCCTGTTTCCCTCCCTCTCTTTTCACCCCACTGTCTCTCTCTTTGAATAACTTACAATGTTAAATTAACCGTGACGGCAGTAAAACGGCGTCGTTTGAGGGGAGTGTTTGTTTCTCGGGATTATTTTGGAAAAGTCGCTGTTAGTGTGTGTCAGAGGTGAGGTAAAATTATGGTTATGGCTGTCACTTGTCAGTCTTATGTGAAACCAACGTAAGAATTCAAGTAGTGTCTTTTGTGGTTAAATTTTTTGAAATTTGGTGTCTTTTTCTAATTTAAACTTTTTTGCAGTGTTTCTCAATTTTTATAATAATTCCTGGCAATTTTGGATAAAATATATCTCTTTCTTTTTTCTTTTTTTCTTTTTTTAATTTTAAAAGAAGGTTTTTCAGTTCACAATTCAATATTATATTTGATTGGATAATATATTAAAATTTTAAAAATTAAATTTATTTAATAAATTTAGACAGATTTTTATATTTAATAAAATTATAATCTAACATGAGAATTACAAATATAATGCAATACCCGTGTCATTGACATTTCCTATTTTATTTTCATGGTCAACAAAATTTTTATTTTCTATTTTTTATTGATAAAAGATACTGATAATAAAATAATAAATAATTTTCTTCTTTTAAAATATTATAAGTAACAAATTATCACTTGGAACATGTGCAAGTTAAAATATAGCAAAATTTTATTCCAAAAAAATGAAGAAACAATGAGAGTGACATATGTTGTTTAAGAGAATATATATATATATTTGAAAATAAGATGAATATTTTTAAATAATTAAGAGAGTTTAACTTTTATTAACAGTTAAATTTAACACAAATATTTTTTTTTAATTTCAATACTAATTAATATTTTTATAAAATATATAAATGTTTTTATAATTTGTACTCGTTAATGTTTACATCACTTTTATTTTTTAAATTTTTATATTTAATAAAGTTTATATTGTTTTTAATATATAATTACAATATAATTTTATATTTAATAAAGTTTATATTGGTCAATGGCATAAGAGTTACAAGAGGTAGCAAATTATATTACGACTGACCTTTCATATTTTTACTTAAAATTTTAAATTTATTATTTCACTCAAAAAATAAATATATAATTTGTTTAGTGTTTAATTATTCTGAACTGTCAGCTTATTTATTTTTTACTCCCATTATTAAATATGAATTTAGAAAAAATAACAAAAAAAAAATCACATTATTAAATGCATATTGGTCATAGAACTCTCCATGACTTCGGGAGGAACAAAATACCCTTTCACCTTAGCTTCAAAAGGAACTACGGTCATTACAGGTAATGTCTATTAATAATTTCTTAGTTTTATGGTTTATACATAAGTTATAGATTTTAGTGGGATTATACAATTTTTATATTTTTTATTATAAATTTATATTATAATTGGTGTGTACGTTATTTGATAGATAAAAAATATACATAGTTTTGTCCAAAGCAATATATATCTCACAAAAAGCTAAAATATATAATTGATAAAAATATAAAGAGAGAGAGAGAGAGAGAGAGAGAGAGAGAGAGAAACAAATAGAGAGCGGAAAAAAAAAGAGAGATTGTGAAAAAAGAAAAGATAGGTGAAATTATAAAAAAAAGATAGAGAGTTTCCAAACAAAAAAAAAAAAGAAAAATGAGATTGTAAATACCCATAACTTAAATAGAAATAAGCTCATAAATTAAATGCGGAAGCGTATAGTAACGTTAGGGTTTACATTCCTTATATATAAATTAGCATTCTCAATAGGGGTACAGAAATATTCATCTCACAACGATTCATAAAATAAAAAACGTAATAATATATTAAAGTAGTAAATAAATGTTGTAGGGATGTTAACCTCCACTAACTCTTGATAGGATTCAGTGAGACACATATTCACAACCCTCCTACTGATCAGGATCTGAATATTGATTTTTTTGACCTACAATGGTTAATAGGAGAGGGGGTGAACTACGCTAGTCCAATAAGAATATCACTATACTCATTGATACAGGAACCGAAGGTTGATAAAAATCATAAAAACAACCAATAAATCTCTTAATTTAAGTAAATTTATTTATCATAAGAAATTTTTTTATTGCATACTTATATTTGCGAGATTTTCGAAACCGATCTATAGAAATAATAACTCAAATAACATTATGATCTCATATTCAAGTGAGTAAAAACAACAATTTTCGTTTTTATTTTATTTACTGGTATCCATGGGAGTCTATAGGGGTGTCCCACTACGCGTGAACCTAATATATAAACTTATCAACTAACCGGCCATCTCCATATTCTGTCCGGTATGGGCGCCAAAAATACCATCTTTCGATACCACATCTAGTATGCGTGTGAATCGGGCCGTCACCATATCCCGTCTGATATGAGCACTAAAAATACCATTTCTCGATACCCCGTCTGGTATGAGGTAACGTTCACGGTAGGATTCCTTATGTACCCGGTCTGTCTACCATATCTCAAAATATCCAGTAAAATAATCATTCATTAATTCACATAACCAAGAAATTTTCTATTTGTATATTAATTTCAAATTTTACAAATCAACTGTAAATCACGCAAGATAAGCAATATATGCATCAAGAAAGCATAATTGAATCATTTAACCATTCTAATATATTATCATGCATTTAAAGCTGTAAATTCAAATAATCAGTTAAACAGAACAAATAAATAACTAACTAGTTCCGCCTCCATTAGTGACTTATAATTATTCTTAAAATTTTTCTAAATTTCACAAAACACCATATTATTGATTATTGATCTTCAATTCCATAACAGAGAATAGGGTGAAGGATTCTTAACCGAATCAGTGTTTGAAACATTGAACTTTCTACTACGCCGACTGATGGTCCCCGCGTCCCCTGAATTTTTCTGCGGAGATTAAAACACGCTTCATATAGATTCTTACCCGAAGCGGTGTTTGAAACATCAAACTTTCTACTACGCCGACTGATGGTCCCCAGGTCTTCTGAATTTTCCTGCAGAAATTAAAACACGCTTCATATATTCAAAAATACCCCAAAATCGGTGTTAAAAATCTTTTTCGACTAATTTTGGATTCTGGCACGATAGTGTTGCCATGCTCGGGCGACGACACCACTGTCCACGACGGTTGTTTGCCTCAGCCTAGCCCTTTTTGGTCGATTTTAGCTAGTTTCAACCGCCTTTATATATATCCTTGTGAAAAAATACGTTAAGGGGCATCGGTTGACGGAAAAAATAAAAAAAATAGAAACCTACCGATGGTGGGGATTTTTGAGTGCAGCGGCTCCACCGGTTCACCTTCACGGTTAGGATTCTTTCTTCAGTTAGCTTGTAGAAAATAGAATAGTGAACACAACGGTAGAAAAGTTGCACGAAATAAGAAACAGAAAGAGGCTCATCGGAGAAGGTTGTGAGTTTTGCCCGCGACGGCTCCACCGGGCTTTGCCTATGGTTTCTGGCTCACCCGTCATTCGTGTTGCTCCGATATGGTCACATGGGTTCTCAGAATCAAATTCCAAGCGGGTAGAAGAATTTTTACCTTTTTCGGCAGTCGAAAGTGGTTTTGTTGCAATGGCGATCAACGGTCGACAATCGGCTCCCCTCTCCGGTGACTAGTTCTTCTTCTCCAGGGGGAGGCTGGCGGCTAGGGTTCGGGTTCAGTGTGATACGAAATATTTATACCAATCTCGCATTAATCTGGGTTATTCATTGCGTTTGATATCGACTGTTCAATCGCGCCTAAGGAGAAAACAAATCTAAACTGTTCATGGTATTTGATCTCGATCGTCCGATCGCGCTAAGGAAGAAACTGATCTAGACCGTCTACGCATGCGGGATCGCTTCTGGTTCGTCCGATCACAAGACACTTGGATCGCCAGTGTGGCCTCCTGCGTGGCACCGAGTCAGCGCGCCTTACCACGCGGCCCGTTCTGATTCGTTGAGGCTGCTGACTGGGTATCATCCGAGCCCAAATTTTTACCCATTTTTTCAAAAATTATTTTCAATCTCATCCTTAATTTATTTTTTCCCAAAAATAACAAAATTTTAATAAATTAATTTATAAAATATATTTCTTATACATATATGAATTAATAAAATTTATTACGGTCTAATTTTTTGGGTCTGGGTATTACAACTCTTTCTCCCTTAAAAAAATTCAGTCCCTCAAATTTGTCACTCTCACTTAATCAAACAATTGGGAATACTGAGCTTTGAAGTCTGATTCTAAATCCCATGTGGCATTTCTCTGTGTGTGATTCTGCCATTGGACTTTAACAAAGAGAATTTTTTAATTGCGAAGTACTCTACTCTTTCGGTCTACAATACCCACCGATATCTCCTCATAGGACATATCCTCCTAGAGTGAAAGAGGCTCGTGGGCGGAGATGTGAGAGGAGTCTGAGTTGTACTTGTGTAGCATGGACACATGAAACACAAAATGAATTCTAGATAATTCTGGAGGTAGTGTCAGTCTATAGGTGGCGGTACCAATTCTGTCTAAAATCTCAAATAGCCCAATAAACTGGAGATTTATTTTCTCCCTCTTGTCAAACCTGCTGATTTTCTTGAAATTGGTGACCTTAAAAGATACTCGATCACTTTTTTCAAATTCCAAATCCCTCCTCAAAGTGTCCACATAGTTCTTTTGCCAGGTCTGAGCCGTCTGGATGTTCTTCCTGATTTTAACTATTTTGGCTGTAGTCTCCTCCATAAGATATGGACCTAATAATTTTCTATCATCCAACTCTTTCCAACAGATCAGCGATCTGCATGGACAACCATATAACGCCTCGTACTGGGTCATGTCGATACTTGCTTGGTAATTGTTATTGTAAGCAAACTTTATTTAGTGTAAATGATCATCTTAATGGCT